ACACATACATACACACACACCACACAAACACACATACCACACACACACACACACACACACACACACACACACACACATCCCCCCCACTAGTAGCAACAATAATAAAAAATAATACAATAGGCTATGTCTTCCAATCAGCAGGCAGAAAGCCGAGCCACGTCTAACAGTGCTAGGAACTGCCGGGAGCAGGGGAATCGTGGGGAGCTTTAAGGGGCACCTACGACGCTGCAAGGAGCCGTGTGGAGTGCAGAGCTGCAGGAGCATGTGGGGAGCAGACCTGTGCTGTGGGCTGGGAGTGGGGCAGAGCAGTCTTTGAGGCCAACTGGTCAGAGTTGTCTGCATCTTGCTGGCGCATGCTCAGCAGTTATGTGGCTCTGAGCCTCTTCTGAGTTGCATGCACATTTTAAAACTGGCACAGGATCATGTCGGCTTCTAGAAGCAGCATGTGGATATAAGGAGAGGGCTGGCTGCAAGGTCAAGTATGTTAGCGTCGTACAGTGCGGCAGCCACCCAGCACCGCAGAGAGAGGCGGGCCTGTATCATATGCGAATATGGCCAAGAATTTTAATAAGTTAAAATGCAAATAGCAGAAAAGGTATAGAATAATCTGACTTCTATCAAAAATAAAAAACAAACAAAACAAACAAAACCTGTCTGTGAGTTAGAGACAAACAGCCCCTCAGAAGAGGTCACTATCAGAAAATGCAGTCTTGGCTTTCTGCCTGTTCGCAAATTCCGGTGGAGTACAAACTCTTCTTGCTTCTCCAGGCTTCTCCCACAGGCTGCTGGCTGATTTTTCAGTCTCCCATCCGACCCCCTGCCTGCCTCCTGCCACCATTCTGGCTTGCCGTGGGCCCCAGGCTCCATTGCTCCGGCTGCTTGGAACATCCCTCAAGTTTTAACTTAGACACCGGCTCTCCAGACCAACTTCCGAGCCCTCTGCAGGGGCAACCAAACCTTTACGCCCCCTTGGGAGGGAACGCCACAACACAGACCCTGGTAACACCACCTCCCGTCGCATGAGAAGTCCGTGAAACCAAAGATCAAGACCATCCCCAGCTTTGCCTCTGGACCCTTGGCCGCAACACTGGCACCTGACAAAATGCCAATGTGTCCTTCCAAAGAGCATTAGGGGAAGTAGCTCAAAGCAGGCAAACCAGGGTCCCACAGAGAAGCCCATGGGACAGAAGGACTTGCAGCAGCAGCAGCTTGTGCTCAGCATCCCCAGTGGAAGCCCAGCATGGTGCAGATTTTGTGTTTTACGGCTTTGGCAGAGTCTCTGCAAATGTGACTCCAGGAACGCAACTCGTTTCAGGTAACAGACAGACAAATGGACACGTTGGAAAGATGTAATGGGAGTACTGAGTGTGACAGGGTACTGAGTGTGGTAGGAGTACTAAGTATAATGGGAGTGCTGAGTATGGCTCCTGGGGAGGGAAGCCTGAGCTTCTGGCCCTACCTGGAAGAAGCTTGACGTGGTAGACTTTTCCCACCCTGCAGCCCCAGTGGCTGGGTACAGGTGCCTTGCTCTCTCAGACCTCTAGCCTGTCCCATCCACAAGGGTAGGCCTGGGGTCACTCTTTGAGCACCCTGCCTGGGGTGACTTTCATCTGTGGCTAGCTGGCTGGCTCAGATAGACCCTGACCTGCCTCCTTCACTCTTTCCCAAGAAGTTTGCTTTGGAGTGTGACCGAGAAAGTTGAGAAACTTTTGTTTAAGGGTAGAATTGGGCATGGTAAGTACTTTATCTTTAGGAAGATTCAGCAGTGATTTGGAGGAAAGCTGGTCCTGGTTACATTTGCCACTGACCTAAGCCTGAATGTCCTGTCTCATTGACCGAGAGGAGAAACTTCCCTCCTCCATAGCAGAGAGCCATCATCAATGGCAACATGGCCATATTTGTTCCTCTGGGCAAAGCCGGAGAGCAAACAGCTTGCTGTCAGGAGATTTCCACTGATGAGGAAATTCCTGTAATTACTGAGTCTTCTCTGAGAGAAGATTGGGGAGGCCATTTCTGTGGGAGGAGCCCTGGAGGTCACACCCAGCCTTCATGCCTGTGAATGAAGCCCTGAGGCCATCCATAGCCTATACAACCTTAGGTAGGCTCCTGATGACCAGGCCCTGATCAGAGCTCACTTGGGCAGCAGACACTTGGCGCCCAGCACCAGAACAAGGTCCCAGAGTGCATGGCCCCTGAAGAACCTTGCAGGTGGGCTCTAGGGTCTGGAGGGAGGTATGTAGAGGGGCAGGGGCTCCACAAAACACAACAACCCGGCCCTCCTATAGCTAGGGAGTGGGGGGTGTCCATTTTGGGGGGTACTTGGAGACAGTCAGATTCCTGATTCCCCTGGGTGAGGACCCTTTCCCTACCAGGGCTGGGGCTGGCTCAGAGATGAGCACTCTACCTTCTCACTAAGATTTAGAAAGCTCCCCACTGTTTCTCAGAGTTCCAGGTGAATGTGTGGGACATCACGGGCAAAAACAACCTGTCAGGTGACTTGTCTGTTAGGCCCAAACAGTGGTTCTCAACCTGTGGGTTGTGACCTCCCTGGGGTCTCATATCAGATATTCTGCACATCAGATATTTACATTATGATTCATAAGTCGCAAAATTACAGTTATAAAGTATCAACGAAATAATTTTATGTTTGGGGGCCACCACAACATGAGGAGCTGTATAAAGGGTCACAGCGTTAGGAAGGTCGAGATCCGCTGAGTTAGGGAGGACCTGGAATGGGAATGGCCTGGCCTCAGACCTCTGTGGGAAACAAGGACTGCAGGGAGTGAGTGGAGACTGAGGATGTCTGGAGCCTGGTTTAGACCTCTGGAGGTCTCTAGTGGTGGACAGGCTGCAAAGGGTGAGTTTTTACTGGAGATGGCTCAGGCACCTGCTGACCTGGATATGCTCTTCTCTGTGTCCTGCTGCTTTCTGAGTCCAAGTGGTTCTAATCTCAGCGACCTTCCCTGCTATAAGGAAAGGTGTGTGGCCCTGTCCCTAGTGGAGCAGGCACTGACTGCCTGTGAGCCCGAGGTGGCAGGAGAACACACGGGTACTAAGCCCACCCGAGCAACGGTGGTGAGGCCGCTCCTACAACCCAGAAGCCGAGGAGTGGAGATCTGGGCTGGTAGCATGCCCACCCCTGTGTTCTTGGAGCCTGGGTGCAGCAGACGTCAGCATGGCTGAGTGAAAGTGTAGCAAATGTTCAAGGACGGGGTTTTCCTCGCAGCTCTGGGTTTTCTTGCCTCTCTGATTTGAGCAAAGGAGTAAGTCTGACACATGAAATGGAGGGTGGGTGGAAGACAGGACAGAGAGGCCGGGTGGAGGGATCCCTAGAAGCACTGGTGTGATGAAGAAATCCCTGTGTGCTCAACCTCTTTCCTCCTCTGCACTGGGAGATGTACGTGCAGCCACATGTGGACAGACAGACAGACAGACAGACAGACACACACACACACACACACACACTGGGCTCGGGTTTTGTTCTTCACTTACAAGTCTGAAGAAATGGAAGGACTAGGTTACAAACTCCTCAGATCCCTGCTACTTTGACGAGAGTAGCAACCCTGGGCCACCTTGGTCGGGCACAGACCCTACTGGCTCCCCACGCTCCCTAGTCTGGGCTGTCCTGTGGAACAAGTTTCCAGGGCTGTTTGAGCACTGTCCGTAGAAGGAGAGATCTCAAGATCAGCACAGAGGCATCGCACTTGTTCCTTCTTCCAGAACCCAAGGAGGGCTGTTCTGTGCCTTTAACATCGGCTCCATTTCACATTGTTCCCTGTGGACCTCAAGGACGGGTGGCTTCTTCAGCGCCCCAGACACAGTCGGGCACAGTGACTAAGACACAGTAGGTGCTCAATAAAGAGGGAAAATGAGTCCAGAAGCTCCTAGAATCTAAGAGAACTACAGGGCAGGGAAAGTCTAAGCGTAGGCGAGGGCTGAACAGAGAGAAATGGCTGGTTCATGGGGCTGGAGCACGGGCTAGGTGTCCACCCTGCGTTCTGAGCCCAGCTCTCGTTCCGCTTCCCAAAGTAGACTTATGAGGTCTACCTGAGAAGTGCAATGGTTTATTTGGCCACAGAGACGTTCTGGTCAATGCCAGCTATAAGCTAAACACCCAGGGTAAGCTAAAAGTACCATCTGGCTCACTCGAGGTCACGTGACTGAGTCCGCAGTGTCCTCACACAGCTTCAGGACCCCTGCCCGGTTCAGACACGGACCAGAGTTGGTGTGAGAAACGATCCTCGCTTCATAGTCAAAGCATTGGACATTCTGAGTAGTCAAAGCCAGGTAGATTTATTTTTGGTTTTGCAGAAGTCAGGACAAGAAGCAAAAAAAATGTCCGGTGTGCCAATTCAGTATAAAACTGTCCTTTAAAATCCTAGTTTCCACCCCTCTCCCAATGCCTCATTGGCTGAATTCTTCAGGGAGGTACAATATTTCCTGCATGTCCAGCATAGGCCCCACCCCAAATCCACCCTTCTCCTGGGGCTTGGAATTCCTTTCCCCTTTCTTCTAGGTAGGGTGAGTTAGTCAGTAGCTTATACCTCTTCAGCCCTAAGACAAACTAAGAAGTGCCCAGGCGAGCAGGTGCCAGCTGCTGGCTCAGGAAGACAGGGGCCTAAGGTCTTCTGCTCATCTGTGATTCTTTTTTTTTTTTTTTTTTTTTTTTTTTGGTTTTTCGAGACAGGGTTTCTCTGTGTAGCTTTGCGCCTTTCCTGGAACTCACTTGGTAGTCCAAGCTGGCCTCGAACTCACAGAGATCCTCCTGGCTCTGCCTCCCAAGTGCTGGGATTAAAGGTGTGCGCCACCACCGCCCGGCCATCATCTGTGATTCTTTGAGAGGCTCTAAGCACTGAAAATGGGCCATGCATTTTACAACTGTTTGAGCACACCCTGGGGGTGTGTCTCACTGGGTGTGTCTCTCTGGGGGCTCTGACATCACTATGGGGAAGCCCCACACCCTTAGCAACGGGAAGCCCCCCCAATCTCTGCTGGAAATGCAAGTCCCTGGCCTCCCCTATGAGTCACAATCCTGGCCACTCTCAGTGGCCTGCTTTACCCTGATTTCTTCCTCGGCTGAGTGAGTGTCAGCCTCCCTGCCCCTGCGGGGCCATCTCAGCCTCAAGACCCTGCTAGGCAGTACCACCAAAGAGGGACAGATCAAAAGGTATGGCCTGGTGTGTGTTTGTCTGCCTTAGAAGAGGCAGCTGATGACCCAGTCCTATTGGCCACCCAAGAGGTCTAGGCTGGGAGGAGGGGTCTGGCTTGGTTTTGTGACCAGCCACTTCCATACCTAAGGCACAGAATTCAGGAGACACATGCTAGGTGAGCAGTCCCAGTCTGCACAGCTGTCTACCAGGGTTTATCTGGGCTCAGGAATTAACTTGGAGCTTCCTTTTAGATCTAGGTAAACAGCCCAACCAAAAGGTGTTTCCCATCCATGTGCCCCAGGGGATGACCCAGGAGACCTGCAGGAAGGAGAGCAGTGCAGAGTAAGGCCCAAGCAGAACAGGTTGAGTCTGCCCACCTTCAGCATTTCTAAGCGAGTGCTGGCATGCTCCTTCCAACGTCTGAATAAGTCCCTAGGCTTGGGTGTGGACAGATGCCTTCACGAAGCAGGCTGAACAGAGATCATGCACACGGGTGACCCAGGAAAATAAAGCAACTCTTGTGACTGGATCTGCATATGATGGTTGGAAAGAGGTCAGACATGGGGCCTATCATGACCCTGGCTGACCCCAGCAGACTCTTGCAGAAAGGGGTTGCTCGTACTCAGTGGGTGTCTTAGTTTTCTTTGCAGAGTTCTTCCTAGGAAAATGTATTGTTGAAAGTATTGTTCCCTTAATATTTTTCTTGGCCGGGCAGTGGTGGCGCATGCCTTTAATCCCAGCACTCAGAAGGCAGGCGGATCTCTGTGAGTTCCAGGAAAGGTTCAAAGCTACACAGAGAAACCCTGTTTTGAAAAACCAAAAAAAAAAAAAAAGAATATTTTTCTTTGTAAAATTAGATCTTCCAAGAGGATAAAAGAGTATGTAGATACATCACACACAGAAAGGTGCACGCCTTTCCCTATGTAAGTTCAATTGCCCAGAGGAGAGCTTGATGCATCAAACCAGAAACTCATTGTATGGAGGTGGGTGCACACAGTACGCATACACAGACGTGACACACACTGAATACACAATGTGATGTGTCTCACAGATGCATGCTTTTACAACATATTCTGTTGTTTTTAACAAAATCTCAGTCATTTGATTTTACCAGTAAAGACTCAGGAGCCAGATGCTGGGGTGAAAGCCTGCTAGCTCAGAGAGGCAGAGAAAGCACCCGGCTGACCGTCCTCAGCCAATGTCCCAGAAACCTCTCTCTCCTACACCACCTCAAAAACTCTCCTCAAACAAATGTCCCTCCCTTCTACTTCCTGTGTGGCTCTCTATCTGTCCTCCTCTTACTCTCTATGTTTTTTTTTTTTCTTATCCCATGTTTACTTCCTGTCAACTGGTTGCTTGCTCTGCTTCTTGACCTGTGGTTGACTTTTTAAAATCCTGTTTACATTATTGAACCAGAAAGCTCTTGGATTAAAGGTGTGTGCTAGGGCTGAACTACACCACAGCTAGAAACAGGTTTTTCCAGTAAATAACACAATCTCAGGGTTCACAGTGCGATCAAATATCCTGCAACAATATTCGTGCGTACACACATATATACATATGTGATTTTTCGTGAAAATGAGCTTTACCTATATATTTCAAGCCAGGCACTAATTTTTTTCCTGTTAATTTTATGTGTGTGGGTATTTTGCCTATATATATATGTCTCTGTACCATGTGCATGCCTGGTGCCCATGGATGCCAGAAGAGGGCATTGGATCCCTTGGAACTGGAGTTACAGACAGTTGTTAACCACTATGTGGGAGCTGGGAATTGAACTCAGATCCTCTGGAAGAGCAACAACTGGTCCTTTTTTTTTTTTTTTTTCAATTTTTTAAAAAAGATTTATTTATTTATCATGTAGTGTTCTGTCTGCAGGTATGCCTGTAGGCCAGAAGAGGGCACCAGATTTCATTACAGATGCTTGTGAATCACCGTGTGGTTGCTGGGAATTGAACTCAGGACCTCTCAAAGAGCAGCCAGTGCTCTTTACTGCTGATCCATCTCTCCACACCACAGTGGCCTTTATAAATGGCCTTAATAACATTGAGTAATTTCCCTGACTCTGGAGTCTACCCCCAAATCATCCCTAAGATTGGTTCAATAGTTCTGGTCTGATCATTGCCAGCAGAGTGGCACTTTACAAACAGACTTTGCTATTTGCTATCACAAAAACAAGTGTTGCCCAACCCTTGGACTTTGGAGGAGACACAATGGTTCTGAATAGTGCATTAAAAATGTAACCTGGAAGCCAGGTGGTGGTGGTGGTGGCGGTGGCGGCGGCGGCGACACACCTTTAATCCCAGCACTCAGGAGGCAGAGGCAGGTGGATCTTTGTGAGTTTGAGGCCAGCCTGAAACTACAGAGCTAGTTCCAGGACAGCCAGAGCGACACAGAGAAATCCTGTTTCACGGGGGAAAAATTTAACCTGGAAACCTCTTTGGCGATCTAATATGCTCCAGGATTAAAGAAACCGCGTGCCCAGTAACAAATGGAATCAAAGTAGGCCACCAAGCTAGGGAAACAGACTCGGGATGACGTTTATCTAGCATGGGCACAGACTACTGATGGGTGTGCACATGTCGTGGGAACAAGGCTCAAACAGGTCCTATGAGCTCTCCTAGAATAATTTAACACCACTTTGCTTGTGGAGAGGGAGTAATCAACGGCAAAAATGCGCAGGACACACCAGCTCAGTTAACTGCTTGTGGGCACCTTGTCTGAGTGCCGTGGATACGAATGAAGGTGTCTCTTAGCTGTCCAGATTTTGGCCTTTCATAGCACTTGCTGGTTACGATGCACATGGTGAGCTGCCTGCTCCATTAAGCTGATGGCGCTACCCTGGCTTTCCCTTCCCCATGGCAGAAATTCTGCCCTTGGGGACATTTGTGGATCAGAGCTGCTGTTGGTGGTGGGGTTTACTCTACCTCCCTTGCAGATGTGGACTGATATGTGTGTGTTGCTGGCCGCTTTCCCTTTGGTCCAGCTCTTACAGTCACGGGAGCTTGCTTCATCGGCTTCTGCATTTGCTTGGTTGGTTGGTTTGTATTTGTCTTCTCCTCTGGCACTTTGTCCCCTAAGCACAGGCTCCCGGCCACACTGTAGGCAGTCAATTCCAGCTCTGCAATGACATCCGGTGCAGAACGGCCTCAGGAAGGATCCGTGGATAGACGCAGAGGAGGAGCGTTTGGAGAGAAAAAGGAGACACTTAGAAAACAAAAGGTGTGATGTGTAGGCATGTATGCACAGCTGTATCCTAAAGCAGAGCCTGGTGTCATGCTTTAGAGTGTGGGAGTTGAGTAGTGAATGATTCCCTGAGCTCTGGCTAGCCAGGCACTGTGGCGGCAGCAGGGAGGGGGTAAGGTAGGACTGGGCCCCAGACCCTGGTCTGGCCTTCTGTACAGGGTGGCTGTGCCTTCACTGGATTGGATTTCCTGGTCAGTGTCTCTGCAGGGTCCGTAGTCAAGAGTGGCGGGCTCATCCAGCCACTTAAATGTCAACAGTAGAAGTGTGTTCTAGAGCCCCTGACAGACATCAAGACTCAGATGCCCAGCGGGCCACACGCTGCCTGCCGACCTGGGGCTGGCTCCATGGGATCGATCAGTAGTGAGAGGGTGAGGGCAGTCTCTACAGTCTGTTGTTAAGATGGGTCTGGACTCTCTGGAAAGGGGTGGAAAGTTGGCCTCACTGTCGACTTCAGACTCATCATGGAGCCTTTGCTCAGACTGGCTCTGGCTGTGCCTCACTGAGGAAGAACACCGAGTCCAGGCAAGCTCCCCGTTCACTCAGGCAGTCATTTGCTTAGCCAGGCTGCTCCACATTGTGGGGCCGGCAGGCAGCTCTGGGGTTGCAGGCACTTGGCCATGCACACTGAGAGGAAACCTCTTCCCAGGTTACAGCTGCACTGACACAAACTGTAAGGGAAGAGGAGGAGGCACGGAGTGTGCTTATTCCTAGAGCACGAGAACCCTAGAATTCCTAAAGGAGGCGGGAATCTCCATCCTCTAAATATTCATGCTTCCTCTTCCTGTAGGGAATGAAGAGAATCAATGAACACTTATTTGATACGGCTTTTAGATTTCAAACATGAGTGCCAAGAAAACTGAGAGCAGCTTGTTCACACGCGTGCTGTCCCTAAAAGAGCAAGCCATTGCACAGACTTCCCTCTAGATTAGGAGTGATCTTTAGCTTCTCAGCAGAGAGTTTACTGAATAAAGTGATGGTCAAGTTCAAAGTCCAGAACAGTGGCAGAACAGTGGCCTCTGATGGCTGGTGAGGCATCTGGCTGTTATTTATTAAATGGCACTGTTTTATCATGAAAGAAAAGCCAGTATAAGAGTTTATTAAGGGGAGGAAATAGAAGGGGGTGCTTAGGCCTACAGAAAGATCATACAGGAAGAGAGGGGAAGGGGAAGTGGAACCCACTTTTATAGATCTTCTCCCCCACCCCCACATGCTCATATGGGTTTAAGTAGCTATGCCACGTATGTGCATAGATTACATTATCACACAGAGCACAGATTACATAGAACATAAGGCCCTAGGATGACTAAGCATCTTGCCTGGCTACTGGACAGCACATGTGCAGTCATGTAGCTGGGGGAGTGGCTAGAAATTCTACCACTGCATCCTGAGGTTAAAAGGCTTTTCTTCCTTGTGGTCCACATGAAGCACTGGGTCCTTCCTTCACTCTCCATTAAGAGATCTCATGTCTAAGCACATCTTTAAGACCATGGCTTAAGTCCCATGTGGATGCTGTTCTAGTTCTGGGAGTTTCATTGGTCTGCTTACCAACTTGATGTAGGCTGGAGTCATGTGAGAAGGGGGAGTCTTAACCGAGAAGACTAAGATTGGCCTGTTGGCAGGTGTTGGGTATGGTCTTGACTGATGATTGATTTGGGAGTGTTCAGCCCACTGGAGTGGTACCACCGCTGGCAAAGCAAACTGAGCAAGTCAGAAAGAGCAAGACAGCAAACAGTGTTTCTCTGTGGCCTTTGCTTCAGCTTCTACCTCTAGG